GCCGCTTGTTTCATCCCTCTCTCTTGCTACGTACGAAACGATGAAGACTGGGGCCTGGGGTGGGGCTTCGGAGAAGGGGCATTTCGTAACAGTTACATTTAGGATGCACTTACACGAGTAACATAGTTGCTTGTTTTTTTGGTTTTTCTTTACCGTTTCGACACCGAGAGTGTGACTTGGGTGGGGTACAAAAAGGTTTTTCTTTCTTTCTCTTCTTCTCTTTCGCAGATCTCTCCGTCCCTGCCCGGAGAACGCGGCCTTCGAGTCAACATGGCGCGCCCTCCGGTCCCGCAGTCGAGGGCTGATCCCGCCACTTCCGGTCTTCGACAACATCGAAACGACATTTTTTTACACTGTGTGTCTGTGTTGCCAATTCGCCTTGTTTCCCGTTACGATTCTGTTCGCATCGTTTTTTGACGGTGTTCGTCGAGGGTCGCTGCGATCTTGTTGAGAACCGGAAGTCGACGGGCCGGCCTTCTACGCCACGCTGTAATCGAGATACAGCCCTACGCGGTATGTGTGTGTATATATAATATATATATAATATATATAATATATAATTATATATGTATATAGTTTACATTCAGCAAGTAGTTAAAGTATTGAAAAATATATATGTAATTAATTACAAATCTAATGATCATCCTCTTGTTAATTCATTATTTGGTAGAATAATCGATAGGTTTTTTTTTTTTTTTTGGGTCTTTCTTTGTGTTTCTCCGTGTGTCGTGTGCGTGTGTGTGTATGTGTAGTAGTAGTAGTGTCTTTGCTGTCTGTGTGTGCGCGTGAGTGTGTAGCTTCGAGTGTGTCCGATACACAAAACGCATATTTAATATTGTTCGCTTCCATTCAGCTTTCATTTTGCTTTACTCTTGCTGCTTTTCTTTTTTTTTTTTTCTTTTTTTTTTCTTTTTTCATTTTTCAACATGAAACGGCTTTCTCTTTTCAACTGTGCCTGGAGATCGTATCACGTTTGCTCACTTCCGCTCTGACACGCGAGTCTCGCATCATTTTGTTGTTCGAATCGTTCTCCCTCTTTACACGCGTGTGCGCGTGTATTCTTATTTCTGTTCCCTTTTTCTCCTTTTTTCTTTTTTTTTTTCATCCAAACTTTTTTCATCCAACGAAGAAAAGCTTTCGAGAACGAATCGATGATACATCGTCTCGAATTGTTTCGAATTTTTCTCTGTTCCATTTTTTTTTCTTTTTTTTTTTTTTTTTCCTAATCACGCGCGTCAGAGCCTCGCACAATTTTCTTTACTCTCTTTTTCTTCCTCACTCCCTTTCCCCTCACTTTTCTCTCTATAAATGTATGAATATATATTATATCTAATATTGCAGTGTTCGGTTATCGCTATGACATTAGTTACGTTACCACGATTACTTGTTTCTCCATTTACGGTTAAAAAGACAATATCGATCGCTATAGTTTATAGACACATGATACTTTAAAGAGACAGATTTACCGTTTGTTTACGTCGTCACGTTACTCACGTGTTTATTAATTATTAGTTACTTTTTTTATTCTTTTTTTCATATTACTTCTTGTGTGTCGTGTACCCGAGTTACTTCGAACGGTTATTCAACTGTGTGTTCGTGTACAGTGTGTGTCATGTGTGTTCGTGTCCGTGTGTGTATTATCCTTAACCACTCGTCCTCATTTTTTTTTTATTCGTTAACGAATACATCCATTACAGATTATGGAAAACTATGCTTAATTTTTTTTTTCTTTTTTTGTTTCCTTGCTTACAAAGTGTTTCATTACAATCGTATTGTAATCGTATAATACTATATGTTTATTTATTTTTGTATGTATCTCAATGTATGCTCTATATCTCGTTCCTTTCTCTCTCTCTCTCTGTCCTTCTCCTCATTCCTTTCTCTCTCTCTCTTTCTCTCTCTCTCTCTCTCTTCACTCACCTCAACTCATCCATCTCGCGCCTCCATGCATCTACCGATTTCAATCCGATTCAGTATCTTTCTCTTTCTCTTTCACTCGTTCTCTCTTCGTTCGTTCTTTTTTTTCCTTTTTTTTTTTTTTTTTTTTTTTTTTTTTTTTTTTTTTTTTTGGTTTTGCTAGAAGAGTATACATCGTGTACGTGTGTTTGATTCTTCGCTGAACTGAGCCTCTCGTCTCAAGCCGAGATCCACATTTGATTCGCAACTCATTGCAACGCTTGCTCCAACTTTCCTTCTTAATCCTTCCCTCGCCATTCTCCTATCCCATTCCTGATCGGATCGTTGAAGAAGAAAGAAAAAAAAAAAAAGGCCTCGAGACATTTATAATGAACATCGCCAAAGCGCGACGAGGATCGTCGTCTTGGATCTTGTTCGAGGATCTCGATTCGCTGATTTCGTCGCGGACACCCAATTCGTTCGATGATTACAAAGATTAGATTAGAAAAATAATCCAGGAGAGCTTTCTCTCTCTTTCTCTCGAGGCTCGATCGAAAATTCTTCCTTCTCTTTTTCTTTTTCTTTTTTTCTATCTAGCCAGGACCAACGATCCGAATATATCGAGAAAGTGATCCGAGAATTGGGTCACCTTACACTGATGGACGTCTTCCGTACCAACCCTCGAAAGGCTTTACTCCTTCTCCCTTCTTTCCCTCGACTCATCATTCAATCCAATCGATTTCTTTCGCTCTACCTTTCTCTCTTTTTCTCTCTCTCCAATCTCTCCCCCTCTCTCTCTTTAACAATAGCAGGTACTAGCATAGCTACCACAGTCGTACGTATCGTTAATAGTTACAATTAAGTTTAGATATTACTATAAAGGGTACTGTTCTCCCACCTTGTCCCCTCTCGCCTCTGTTCCCCGCGATTTTTCCTCTTCCATCCACTTTTTCCTACCCTTATTAGTTCCGCGGTTAAAAAACATTTGTTTTTAGCACCCCCTCACGCGGCCACACAACTGCCGAATCGCTCGACAATCTTCAAGATTCCTCGATTTTCCATAATAGGAAGAAGCCTCGACACGGCCTCTCTCTCTCTCTCTCTCTTTCTCCATTCTTCTCTTGAAGAGTCTCTTAATCTTATATCGAAGGAACTCTTCTTTCAGGGAATTTTCCGTCCGAGTTTCTGAGAAACCGAATTTTCGAGAACACCGAACGAGGTTATCTTATCCCTCGACAAAATTTACCATCGAAGAAATCCGTTTTCGTTATCCAAATTAGGAGAAATTTCGTTCGACTGGACAAAAAAAAAAAGCGAGCAAAGACGTCGAGGATCGGTCGATCGATGCGCTCTCGGATCCATGACGGAACGACCGCAGGAAGCTGGTTGCTCGGCGTCGATCATACAAAACTTGCTATATAAAAATCCGTACGAAAGAACGACGAAAGTTCACGCCTAAAAATTATACTACTTATTACACTTACACGATACAAAGTTTCACGCTANTTTTTTTTTTTTTTCTTTTTTCAAAACTAGTCTAAGAGAGGACCGAGCGGATCGACCGACGCGAAACGCGAATCTTCTTCTTTCTCTTCTTACTTTGCGCGCGAGCAATTCGACAATCCATGGCCGCGTTTATTCCGTACGTTTGTCCCACGACGACAAGATTAAACACTTTTTTTTTTTAATACTTTTAGCACCTAGTGCCCGGCCCGCGGCTCGCGGCACCTCCGCCATTGTTGCTGTCGCGGCTTCTCGCGATTGCTCGACGGACGGGGCCGACCGTGACCCGATCTGACAAGTTGATGATCAAATAAGGAGAAGTTATGATTCATCCGTGCTATGCTCGGAGACTGGATATTGGATTTGAAGCTCGAGGTCGAGCGTGGAGCGGGCACGTAAGAGAGCGATTTTCGATCCGATTTTTTTTTAACCGATTTAATTTATTAATACGTTTCGAGTAAATTCGAGTTTAAAAGTGGTAAATGAATTTGATGGAATTTTTTTTTTTTTTTTTTTACTTATGAGAGAAGCTAATAATTTTTGTAATTTTAAACTCAAATGTTTTCATAGAGAGCTAATTTTAATTCTGCCCAACTTTCCCCGCCGATCGATAAATATTCATAGAATTATAGAATGACAACGAAGCCCCCTAAAACTTATATCAAACTTCGATAAAAAAATATTCGGCAAAATTGAATATCCTGATGCATAGCTCCACGCAAAGTTTCCTTAAACGGATCGACGCCCGGAGGCGTGTTCGAGGTCACGAGCACGGTCGCATCTCCGGCCGTCGAGGACAGTAACAGCGGCCTTTAACAACGTAATCATCTAATTAATCTCGCGAACGCGAACCGGCTGGTTGCTCGCTGCTCCAAACCCCTTTCACCGGTTTTGTTTCCCTTTCGACGCGCCCTTTGTCCATGATTTTCGAACATCGTTGGACCAGGGCGTCAACCACGTTAGTTCGGATAACCTGGAATCGGCGCCTGTCAATGGATCGTACAGATTAGAAATACAGGAATTTAAGGAGATGAAAACAGGAATTAGAAAATTAGTTCGCGTATAATCGCGCGTCGAACTTCGTTCGATCACAATTTTGAGAACGTTGTCCCGTTATGGACGAATCTAGCGTCATCCGATTGATCCGTTAATCCCACGCGATAAAATAGGTTAGGTCGCGTCGAAAGAAAATCTTACAAGGGAAACGACGGGATTATTACAATAATCGAAAGCGTCGACCATGGTCGGCAACAAGTTCTTCTTAAGCTCAAATATTTTTTTTTAAGCCCGTATAAC